CTCTCTCCGTCCTCGTGTTAGTTCATACATCTACATCTCTCTGTACCCTCGCGTTAGCTCATACATCTATATCTCTCCGTCCTCGTGTTAGTTCATACATCTATATCTCTCTCCGTCCTCGTGTTAGTTCATACATCTATATCTCTCTGTGCCCTCGCGTTAGCTCATACATCTACATCTCTCTGTACCCTCGTGTTAGCTCATACATCTATATCTCTCTGTACCCTCGTGTTAGCTCATACATCTATATCTCTCCGTCCTCGTGTTAGCTCATACATCTATATCTCTCCGTTCTCTTGTTAGTTCATACATCAATATCTCTCTCCGTCCTCGTGTTAGTTCATACATCTATATCTCTCTGTGCCCTCGCATTAGATCATACATCTATGTCTCTCTGTGCCCTCGTGTTAGTTCATACATCTATATCTCTCTCCGTCCTCGCCTTAGTTCATACATCTATATCTCTCCGTCCTCGTGTTAGTTCATACATCTATATCTCTTTCCGTCCTCGTGTTAGTTCATACATCTACATCTCTCCGTCCTCGTGTTAGCTCATACATCTATATCTCTCTGTGCCCTCGCGTTAGTTCTTACATCTACATCTCTCTCCGTCCTCTTGTTCGTTCTTACATCTACATCTCTCTTCGTCCTCGTGTTAGTTCATACATCTACATCTCTCTCCATCCTCGTGTTAGTTCATACATATATATCTCTATTTCTTCGAGCAGATGCGAAGACTTCTCTTTAGAATCGTGTACCGGTAAAACCTATGTTAGCGCAATATCTATACCTTTTTACAAAATAAATATTCATTCTAGTGATCCTTGGAGACAACCGTTTTGATTCAACAAATTATAGCAAAAGTACAAACTGACTTCAACCTATCTTTTATCAATTTACTGAGATTCCCTTCAGAGCCCGAGCGTATGTTTTTTTAAGATCGATGCTATGTTTGATATTGATATCACACGAACCTTGCACCTTTCACTGAACGTGGAATCAGTTGTTTGTGTTTTACTTGAATTTGGTGGCCGATGCTCAATGTACTTGGATATACATTTGTAAAATATCGAACGACATATGGCCAATTGAAAGCATCGAGACGAGGGGGTCGGCCTAATGTATGAATTGTCGTTAGGGGTCTTATAGGGTATTAAACATCTATTATACCCTACTTAATTGGATTTTATTTTGAACTGAAAATAGTTTTGAACTGATTACGTTGTATTTCTTCTCGGTTTTGATAGTGGAAAAGATTTTGGTGAGAGATTTAATGCTCGATAACGCTCCAAAGCCACCAGCAGCTGGAGTGAAAAAGCATGGCAAAGGAAATTCGAGACAACGAACAAATGAAGAATCTCGGCTCAGTTCTGTCGAAGTTCGATCATCGTCCATCGAAGAGAGTGTGCCACTGTCTCGAGATCCGACTAGATGGCTAGGCGCTTTACATAAACTAGGTTTGTAGGATTTGCACTCGCTAACACATTTCTATTATCAAACTTGGTGACTTCATGTCGTCATATGCCAATAAATGCCACTCAATCCCATCATGGAAGAAACTAGTTCTCAGCCCACTGATGTACACTGTGGTGCTATCTTACTTAAAATGATAGAGTCCGACTCCATTGTCGAAGCAGGATTTTTTTATGCCTGTAGTTATCTTTAATTCTTTAATTTCTTTAATTTAAATCTTTAATTCTCTTGCAGGTAATCAAAACATTCCGAGGAAGAACCAAGTTCTGGATGCATTGTCCTCGTTGAAACAGATATAAGCAAATACTGATTGACAATAGAATAAAGATGTTTGTTGAAATATGATTTCGAAAAAGAATTAACGCCGCTTTCTTTTGCTGCAGAACACGTTTGCATTTTATTATTCAATTTGAATTGAATAGACAAGACTTGACGATGCACAGATTCAAAAAGCGATGATGATGATGATGATGATGATGATGATGATGATGGTGGTGGTGGTGGTTAAAGACATTTCATTTTTGTTGTTGAGTGTATCGCTCCGTTAACAGGGTAATTTTGAGGTGGGTCCCCTTGCTGGTGGCTACATCACTGAACAACTTGAACAACCGTCGCATATTCGGTTGTCAAGAAAGTGGTTAGTACTTTTGACTATAACTTCAATGATGATGCCATACTTATCGTTCATGTCAAGTGTACTAGTAAATCCCTACTGAAATATGACAACAGACCAATAAATATACAAGAAGGCTTACTTTGAATTTTAATTTAGGTGTTTATTTTCACTCTCATCAGTGAAAAAAACAGATACATGGCAAATACATTCAGTGGTGTAAACTACCTGTTTCGTACCTTACATTTAACTGCACTTTCCCTTCAACCTTATCATGAAAACCGCGAAAATTTTAATAACCTAATAAAACATGCCCAGCAGTATATTCTACATTCAAAACATGTCACAGACATTTAAATCAATAGTACCTAAAACAAGCATTCCTTAATTAAGTGAACTCGAGGTCTTTATATATTGTGAACAACATTAAGCTGGATCTGGAAACCGCGCTAATTGGGATGTTTGTCTTATGATCTATCCTGCTGTGGTTATTTGAACGGCGTTTAAAAATGAAAATGAAATGTTAAAGCTGAGAGGCTTCATATTGATTCCTGTTTAGCAGGAATATATGTATAACTATCTTGAATTGACAAAAGTCCTAATGAGACCGTCATTTACAAAAAAAATAATATCGAAATGCCGGTATTGTTAGAGGTGAATTTCAAACTCAAAATGAATGTAAAGAAAATTGAATATGCACAAAAGAAATGAACATATTAAGGCAATGTAACATATCTTATTTCTATGGAAAACATCTCCTTTTTTATCGACGGCAACCGTCATGAAACAGATGTATAAATAGTGAGATGATATGGTCAAAGATGTATGGATGGTGACACAACAGGATAAAAGATACAACAACAGGATAAAAGATGTATGGATAGTGACACAACAGGATATAAGATGTATGGATAGTGACACAACAGGATATAAGATGTATGGATAGTGACACAACAGGATATAAGATGTATGGATAGTGACACAACAGGATATAAGATGTATGGATAGTGACACAACAGGATAAAAGATGTATGGATAGTGACACAACAGGATAAAAGATACAACAACAGGATAAAAGATGTATGGATAGTGACACAACAGGATATAAGATGTATGGATAGTGACACAACAGGATATAAGATGTATGGATAGTGACACAACAGGATAAAAGATACAACAACAGGATAAAAGATGTATGGATAGTGACACAACAGGATATAAGATGTATGGATGGTGACACAACAGGATAAAAGATACAACAACAGGATAAAAGATGTATGGATAGTGACACAACAGGATATAAGATGTATGGATAGTGACACAACAGGATAAAAGATGTATGGATAGTGACACAACAGGATAAAAGATACAACAACAGGATAAAAGATGTATGGATAGTGACACAACAGGATAAAAGATACAACAACAGGATATAAGATGTATGGATGGTGACACAACAGGATAAAAGATACAACAACATGATAAAAGATGTATGGATAGTGACACAACAGGATATAAGATGTATGGATGGTGACACAACAGGATAAAAGATGTATGGATGGTGACACAACAGGATAAAAGATACAACAACAGGATAAAAGATGTATGGATAGTGACACAACAGGATATAAGATGTATGGATAGTGACACAACAGGATAAAAGATGTATGGATGGTGACGCAACAGGATAAAAGATGTATGGATGGTGACGCAACAGGATAAAAGATACAACAACATGATAAAAGATGTATGGATAGTGACACAACAGGATATAAGATGTATGGATAGTGACACAACAGGATATAAGATGTATGGATAGTGACACAACAGGATAAAAGATGTATGGATGGTGACGCAACAGGATAAAAGATACAACAACAGGATAAAAGATGTCAGTTGTCGGAGAATTAAATCGCTACAAACAGACATTGATACGGTAATCTATGTTTCGTTTCATGTTTTTCCGTTATAAAATATTCTTTATATAAAACCGTAGGAATGTGAATCATCAAAGAATAACACCATTGTCAGTATTCGGCTCTGATCATAGCAGTTTCGTTCTGTCAAATAATGTATCGTTCGAATCTTCATAACATATTCAAACACACCAAATCTGTACTTTAATGGTGTCTAGTGATGACGATGAAGCCAGTAGATTAATTGTGAGCGTTTATCGACAAGGCCGTATAAATAGTTACGGGATTAAACGAGATTAAAAGTGCGACATTTGGGGTGACGGTGTCCAGGCATCATGTGACTTGCGAGTGATATGATTCGACTTGCGCGTGATATGGATCGATAACTGAACTGCTATAACAGGATTTCCGGCTCGCAACAAAAATTGTAGACCTCACAGGGTTGACATTTACAGTATACCCGTGTATTCTTGTCATTAAATCTAGACAAACAGGAGGAAACACATCCGGCTCTTCTTTAGCGACAGGCAGGTTTCGTATGTCACTGACAAACAGTATTCAGCCCTCCGATTGGCAGTGAAAAGAGATATTAAAATAGAAGCCAATGACGGTCAAAATAAGATCGGAAGGTGAATTAAAAAAATCCGTCTCCACTAAGAATATAGTTCCTCTTCTCTGTCCTTTGTGATCAGACTTATTACAGACGGCAGGGGAGGAAACGGCAATCCTTTTCACGACAAATTGTAAGTATGAATTACCAGTTGTGTAATTTTAACGGGTAAGATGATTTTATAACAATATTCTTATCCTATAGGTGTTGATCAAATTATAGCAAAGACAATTTTGTTTACAAAATAAAATCCAAAAATACTAAATTTATGTCGTTATTTTAGCGTTTTTAACATTGTGTTTCATTATGCATTTTATGTTTCAAAAGAAAGATGAGTTTTGAAGATAATTACTTAAGAGGAAGCATATTTTTTTTTCCAGAAACAAACATGTATCAAGTGATGTCTCTTCCCACAGCAACACTTGTCGTTTTTATGTTTCTTCGAGGAGGGTTGTCTCTCGTGGATAATTGTGAAACGAAATCAATTGAAATGAACATCGTTCGCGTGATGAACGTGGAATACGAAGGCACCATGCGCAATGCTGTCTGTGTAGCCAGTGTCCTTGTCAACGAATGTGATGGCACGTGTGTTTCGCGTGTCACTCCAAGCGTTTCCCGATTTCCTGGCTTTGACAAAGTAAGTTTTCTTAACTGTACCTGTAGAATAAAGAACACGTTTTAGTATTGTTATTTATTTCTCTTTCTTTCTTTCTTTTTTTCTTTCTTTCTCTCTCTTTCTTTCCTTCTTCCTTTCCTTTCATGACTTTCGGTTGCCGGCAGTTATTTCTACCAACATATGTACAAACGAAAGCTATAAGAGAATGCTGAATAGTTTTCACTTTAAATGTTGATATTTCTATGACAAAATTTTACGAAGTCAGTTACTACAAACAGGATACGCGTCTGGTTTCAATTCAATAACAAAGCCGATTTTTTTTGTGCAAAACTACTTTGCTGAGTACTAGGAATTTTATAAACCAATGTAGTGTGGTTTACATTTACTGTTAGATACTAAAAAAGGAGGGGATTCCTTCTTAAGTGAAAGAAAGCAAAATAAAAATCAACGAACGAATACGATACTATATAACATTATCTACCGCTTATCTCATCAGACATTATTCATTACTAATACAAACTTAACGAGCCACTTTTAAGGTGGGAAAAACAGGTGATCTCAGATGAATTTGTAAGGAAAGAGAATGCAACATTCTTCATATTTGCGTTTATCTCTCTTCGAAATCACATCATCATGTTTTTGTCTTTTGACATACTTCTACTATAGTTGTAAATCTTATGTCTACAATGGTGACTGAAGACGATTTTCAGAATCCTCCATTTCCAGTGAACATTGCCAAAGATCATCAACATCAGCAGAGGAAATGTCCGAATATGCCTAACTTTTCAGTTCAAAGGTTGGAAAAATGTTCAACTCCATGTCTAAACTATCGCTTAGAATTCCTGCAGTATTTGAATCGTTCTCTTTATGGCACCAAAATGTTCCCTTCTTGTACAGATTGAGTATTAAACGAGAATAGACAATATATAATGATGTATTTTAGGGTGTCTTACCTTCACCTGTCCAATAAATAAATAATCTTTACAACAATTGCGAAGCGAGTTTTTCCAACTTATATAAATCACTCTTGTTGGCGCGGATGGATGCGCGCAAGGGGTCTTAGTATGGGAGGAAATCGGATTACCATGGGAAAACCCACGTGGTCGGGCAGGTGACTCCTTACCTTTTACACATCCATTCCGGGAATCGAATCCTGGACGGGTAGGTGAAAGGCGAAAACATTAACACCCCTACCCGACCACCCAAATGATTAGTAAAGAAGTCTCACGCCTGATTTACTTCACTTACATGTAGCTAACACTGTTTCTTTTTACCTGTCCAATATGTTTCATGGTTGAGTGAATATTCAGTTCATCGTTTTGAAAACAAATTGCTATCGTTATTTTCACAAAGAGGTGCTGTGTTTTTTTACTAGGAGAAAAGCTGTCGGGCCTTGATCAGTTATTTCTGTCTCAGGACAGTTTGAGGTTTTCTCCCTTAATTTATATGTATGTGTATAAGACATCAAGTTATTTGACTGATTTTTATGAACTGATGAAAAGGAAGGTATGTTATCAATGTCTGTGACGTACCGTCTATTGTTATCAATGCCTGTGACGTACCGTCTATTGTTATCACTGTCTGTGACGTACCGTCTATTGTTTTTACTGTGTGTGACTTACCGTCTATTGTTATCAATGCCTCTGACGTACCGTCTATTGTTATCACTGTCTGTGACGTACCGTCTATTGTTATCAATGTCTGTGACGTACCGTCTATTGTTTTCACTGTCTGTGACGTACCGTCTATTGTTATCAATGTCTGTGTCGTACCGTCTATTGTTATTACTATGTGTGACGTACCATCTATTGTTATTACTGTCTATGACGTACCGTCTATTGTTATTACCGTCTATGACGTACCGTCTATTGTTATCAATGTCTGTGACGTACCGTCTATTGTTATTACTTTCTATGATGTACCGTCTATTGTTATTACTGTCTGTGACGCACCGTCTATGTTTATTACTGTCTATGACGTACCGTCTATGGTTATTACTGTGTGTGACGTACCGTCTATTGTTATTACTGTCTGTGACGTACTGTCTATTGTTATCAATGTCTGTGATGTACCGTCTATTGTTATTACTGTGTGTGACGTACCGTCTATTGTTATCAATGTCTGTGACGTACCGTCTATTGTTATTACTGTCAGTGCCGTACCGTCTATTGTTATCAATTTCTGTGACGTACCGTCTATTGTTATTACTGTCAGTGACGTACCGTCTATTGTTATCAATGTCTGTGATGTACCGTCTATTGTTATTACTGTGTGTGACGTACCGTCTATTGTTATTACTGTCTGTGACGTACCGTCTATTGTTACTACAGTCTGTGACGTACCGTTTTTATGATATGTCAAAAAAAATATTATTACGTCATATAATATGACGTCTGTTGTTACTGTACTGTTTCATTCCTATTAGTTTTTACAGTTGTTGAAATGAACTTGAATATTTAATCAATTTTTATCAAAAATAAGTAATTATCGAGACGTATCAACAAGTGAATTAGTGGGTTGATCACACAGCGTTAGCCGGGTAAATAGTGACGTCAGAGTATGTGATAAAGTATCTATATAGTCTACATAGTTTATCACAGTTTGTATTGCAGCTGCGCGTGCTTTGTCCAAATGTTTTTAATAACTGTCCAATCTTTGTTGTTCATAAAATACACACATCGAATTACCAAAGTAAAACAGTCGCTGAAGCTACAGTACGTGCAAGTCGTGAGCTGAAACGGCAATAAAGGAATCACATTCTTTATTTTCACATTATTTTTATGAAAATTCTAGAGGTTACGTATATAAAAGTATTTACAGAGAACAATAATGAATTAGAACACTTGATAATATCACTCATTTACTGATGAATTATATAATTACATTCAAATGCTGACTGAAATTATTCTATTTCTTTTTCTCACAGATTTGCAAATGCTGTAGTGAATCTAGACTGGTTTCAAGAGAGGTCACTTTGACAGAATGTCGAGATGGAAACCACGTGTTGGAGGGGGTGCGCCCTACTACGTCCTTCTCTGAGCCCGCTGGCTGTGCTTGTCGGTCCTGCCAATACTGAAAGACTCGTATATCTATATAAAGTAGGATAATGAAGTGGTAATTCAAAAACTGTGTTGTTTAAATATAGGTACAAATAAAGGTAAAATATAAATCATAATATAAGATTTTATTTGTGTTTTTACTTTCCTACAATACTATATCACAACAAAAATAGTTCGCTCTCAATATCTACAAATTTACACTTTTCAGACTGTGTCACTGAAATAGAGGTCGACTAATGCTGACATCCAAATCTAATGAAATGCTGGCATGATTAGCGTGAACGGAGATTCATAATATTGTTAAAGGGCCATAGAGAAACAAGACGAATTTACATTGCTACTACAGGATATGAATGTGTAAAAAAGTGTAGACACGCCGATGACAATTATCTATTTATCTGTTGTTCTGGTCACAATTTCGATACGATGATCAAAAAGATGCATTATGTGACTAAGTTTAAAGTCAGCTTGATCTTGTTCACAAATGTTAGTGATCCATTAGCAATGCAGAGTGTGAAAAGTTTGATGTATTACGTCATTCAAAGCTGTCAGAGTCCATATTTGAAATGCTCTATATGTAGAGAATCTGAAGTAGAATTGAATCTCTGCCTACAGAATCAATGCCTAAAAACCTGTCTGCAGGGTCTATGGTAGAGAATCTGAAGTAGAATTGAATCTCTGACTGCAGCGTCTATGGTAGAGAATCTTATGTAGAATTGAATCTCTGCCTACAGAATCAATGCCTAAAAACCTGTCACAGAGTCTATGGTAGAGAATCTGAAGTAGAATTGAATCTCTGCCTGCAGAGTTTATGGTAGAGAATCTGATGTAGAATTGAATCTCTGCCTACAGAATCAATGCCTAAAAACCTGTCTGCAGGGTCTATGGTAGAGAATCTGAAGTAGAATTGAATCTCTGCCTACAGAATCAATGCCTAAAAACCTGTCTGCAGGGTCTATGGTAGAGAATCTGATGTAGAATTGAATCTCTGCCTACAGAATCAATGCCTAAAAACCTGTCACAGAGTCTATGGTAGAGAATCTGAAGTAGAATTGAATCTCTGCCTACAGAATCAATGCCTAAATACCTGTCTGCAGGGTCTATGGTAGAGAATCTGATGTGATGTAGAATTGAATCTCTGCATGCAGGGTCTATGGTAGAGAATCTGAAGTAGAATTGAATCTCTGCCTACAGAATCAATGCCTTAAATCTGTCTGCAGGGTCTATGGTAGAGAATCTGATGTAGAATTGAATCTCTGCCTACAGAATCAATGCCTAAAAACCTGTCACAGAGTCTATGGTAGAGAATCTGAAGTAGAATTGAATCTGATGTAGAATTGAATCTCTGCCTACAGAATCAATGCCTAAAACCCTGTCTGCAGGGTCTATGGTAGAGAATCATCAATGGGTTAAGAAGTAGAATTGAATTTCTCTGCTCTTCACAAGTCAATCAATGCCTAGTAAACAGCTGTCAAAGAGTCTTCCAATTGAACAAAGAATTTTATCCCGGTAGGTAAACCCGTCTATGGTAGAGAATCTGAAGTAGAATTGAATCTCTGCTTACAGAATCAATGTCCTGTTCACGCGAAAACCTGGACTCATCCGTAAAAATAAATTGTCGCCTCTGACGCAGTCACCAATTCACATGGTCAGCTACCCGATGCTGCCGAACTATACTGTGATAGCGTGTAAACCGAGAAAAGCGGGTCTGTTGATTAAAAAAAAAAATAATAAAAAGAAAAGTGTCACAAGCTGTCCTCGTCATTCGATGAAAATCTGCACTAGATGCAAATCTCATAAGGAAACAACCTGTTTTCTCCCACTCCGAAGGATAAAAACAAATGCTTGCTGGGAGTTAACAGTCCCCGGTAGTCATCTAATGAGAGTGTTTCCTATTCCTGGTTGACCTCCGAGGTGAAGCAACAGACGGCTCACTCTGATGGGATGATACTGGTGTAGAGTCTATTTGTGGGGCAGCAACAGGTACGACACCCTCAGGTAACACACCAGTATCAGACTGCTCACTAAACGAATTCTCCCTCTCCTCCCCAACATCACCAAAATTAGTCTGATCTTCAGTCACAGAGAGGATTCCCTAATAGTCTAGGTATGGGTATGGGAGGCCTCAGGACATACGACAACACATCGTCGCCCATATCTTCAGAACTGGTGTCGGTGTCACTGTCGCCCGAGGTGAGGCCGAATCATGTTAAATCTCTGTTCATCGGTAAAGAACCCACAGATAATAAATGGTTCCGATGTAGAGTTCTCATTCCGACGTTGGTAAATCCTGGTTGTCCTGGCTAACGATGACGTACACGTGTGACTACCACTTGTTCGCAAGCTTATGGTGTCCCTCAAAAGCCAAGATCTTCACACGGACACGATCTCCAATGTTCAGGAATGGATCTGGAGCCTTCAGGTCATATGTTGCCTTTTTTCGTTGGTGGACTTCCTTGGGCTTCCTATTGGCAAACTAGAAAGACTAGGTCATACGCTTCCTTAATCCCTTCATATACTCTGGCACTTTGATAGTCTTGTGTCGAGACGAGTACTATTGTACGCGAAGTGGACATAGATAGCGCTCCTAATCCTTCTTGTGATTATCATCCAAAGTTCTAAGCATGTCCATCGGTGTTCGATTGAACCTCTCGCCTGTACCATTACCGCTGGGATTACAAGGTGATGTTCTAGACTTACGGATGTCCAACACCCAACAAAGAAAAGCTAAAAGTTCCGTGGGTTATAATGTCACATTGTTGACCACAGACACACGCTGGGATGTTGACCCATCTTCCTCAGAACACAATGTGTGCACTTCTTCATCAATCCATCAACGTACTTGGACATTCCTGGCCAGAAGAATTGTTACAGGCCAACGTGACTAGGAGCCCATGGTTTAAAGAAAGGCCGGGTGGGACCTAGATGTCTCCCCATAGTAGACCCCTCGCACGCTTCCATACGGGTCAATAGGAGCGATGAATATAAGATTGCAATAAAGATTATATAATCCAACTAGTCTTGAAGGCCACCTTTATACAAAAGCCACCTGTCCATATAGGACACGTTTTTGGTTCCCTTTGTAATTCAGTTTATAGTAACTGAACTTCTATATAAATTTAATTGTACCTACAACACATAAATACTATGTACGTGTCTGTTTTTTTAGATCAGCAAATACGGCTGTAAACTAAGAGTACCTTAAACATTCTGTTACATATTCCGTTACCAGAGTATACTTGATCTGGAATGAGATAAAAAAATGTTTTTAGACTTATTACTTCAAAAACTGCTCAGTGATATGTAGATATTCCACGAAAAATGACACCGAGTCAAAGACAACACGTCGGAACAGTAAAGTGACACCATACGGGGTCGTGATTCATCACCACAATGCGATGACGTCATTGCTACTATGACGTCATAAACTAAGCAACGAAAAGGTAGTATCAATAATGGAGCGGTCGTCGCTAAAGAGAGGGCCGGAGAGAATCTGGAGAAGAGCTAGCACTGGGTAGAGTAGTAGATGCATTGATTACACGAAAACATCATGAACAGGAGCACACGTGACAGCTTGTTGCAGATGATGAAAAAACCCGAGGAAAAACGGAAGGATACAGAATTAAATGCCCTTCTGCCCGTCCTCTCGTGGAAAGTTCGATGTTTAAGAGGGCTTGACAAAGGCGAGTGAAGTGAATAAACACTGAAAAATATAAATATTTAACATCAAAATATCGATTTTTTTAAATTGTTAAACTAGCGAAATGAATTGAAGTACAGTACGGTATTTGGTTAAGAGTTTAGATTGTGTTTGTATCGCCATGTAAACAATCGTGCTCGTGTTGAGTCTGCTCGTAGTAGCTGTAGTGTCCTCTCACTGAATATCATAGGGTGGCCCAGTACATGCGGGACTCAAAACTGCGGGTGGCATTTCTGACAATACTAGCCGCCCGGGTAGGGATATTTGTCACTTGTAAAGTATATTTTTTATTTTATTTTAAAAAAAACAAGCATTTATGTCCACTCTGATAGTATCGACAAGTCGGCAATATCAATTTATTGATGTAGAGTAAGTTTACTGGCGAGTAATTAAACGCTTTTTAATCGGAATTCCTCCTTTTGTATTAAAGTTGCTCTTTTGGACCAAATTCCTCTATTTATGAAAACTCAAATAAATAAGAATTATTCTGATTTAATTAAAGAGAAAAGTGAATATGTAGTAAGCACCAATAAAAAGTCAACGATATGTTTAAAATGAAGCAGTGTAATGGTGCAAGTTGGAATAAATGTTTGCTTAGTTTACAGAAAGTTCTTCTCGTGTTTGAATGATAAAACTGTCATGGACGTGCTTTGTGTATATAGGGTTGCCCATGACATTCTCCATCTTGTTAGGTAAAATCAGTAGATATGTCTTGCTCTCTACTAGGAAAAGTGATGGAACTGTTACGTGTCTGTATTTATCGGAGATACCATCGGGACGGGATTATCAGAAAACAGGGGAAACCTTGGAACAAGTAAGTCCAATAATCAACAATACATCCAGCGATCGTAACACAGAGTTTATCAACATCAGAGAACAATCCTTCACGACCTCCATTCGTCCTGCTTTTTCTTTTCTTAGTGACAATATGAGATGTCTTAATTGCACTTGTTGATGTATTTCATGAATACTATTTACACAGGTATTTTCCAAATTAAGTCCAACGAGATAGCGTTAAAAAACACTGAAGCACAAATTAGGGCCAAAAACAAGTAAAAAAACAAACAAAACAAAAACCACGAAATTTAAGCATTTCAGTCCCTACGTAATATGAGCTTATTATCAACAACCATTGTCTATTTATGTCACTCATTAATATTAATTTTCAGACTGTATATCATCATGCGTGGGAGCGTCACGGTATTTTACAATGACAAAGGCGGGGATAGTAGTGCACCGGAACCGGAAGGTGATGCCAAAGACGACGAGTCATGCCCGGGATCTCCATCATTCCCTCCAATTTTTGGTTTCACTACC